ATTTACAAAAGTTGCTTAAGTGGTTAAGGGCATAGACTCTGTAGCCAGACTGTCTGGCTCAAATTTTTTTTTTTTTTTTTTTTTTTTTAGAGACAAGTTCTCCCTGTTTCCCATGTTAGTCTTGAACTCCTGCGCTCAAGTGATCCTCCTGCCTTAGCCTCCCAAAGTGCTAGCATTACAGGTGTGAGCCATTGTGCCCGGCCTTGAATTAAAATTTTGTCCTGGCTGCTTTGCAATTGTAGGCATATTTCTTAACTGTGCTGCAGTTGGCTCGTTTATAACAACAGTAGCTACTTTACAGGGTTACATTGAAGATTAAATAAATATTGGTAAAACAATTAGAACAATGCCTGATGATACATAAGGACTCAACAAATATTAACTTTAAAAAATACCTGATATTTAATTAGAAGCTGGGCACAGTTGCTCATGCATATAATCTCAGCACTTTGCGAAGCCAAGGCAGGAGGATCACTTGAAGCAAGTTCAAGACCAGCCTAGGCAATGTAGTGAGACCTTGTCTCTAAAAAATAAAAATACCCAGGCACAGTTGCAATCCCAGCACTTTGCGGGGGCCAAGGCAGGCAGATTGCTTTTAGCCTAGGAGTTTGAGACCAGCCTGGGCAATATGGCAAAACCCTGTCTCTACTAAAAATATAAACAGTTAGCCAGCTGTGGTGGTATATGCCTGTAGTCACAGCTACTCAGGAGGCTGAGGTAGGATAATCACCTGAGCCAGGAGGTTGAGATTGTAGTGAGCTGTGATTTTGTCACTATGCTCCAGTTTGGCTGACAGCGATACCCTTTCTAAAAAAAAAAAAAAAACAAAAAACCTGATATTTAATTAGATGTGATGGTTAAGGGACGGAAAATTAAAAATGACTTATGGTGAAAACTGGGTGAATATGATGCCTTACTTTGAAGTAGAAAATGGGAGAGGTTTTTTGGGGTGGGGAATGATAAGTTCATTTTCTGGAAAAGTTCCACTGAAGTTGCTTGGAAGGCATATATGTAGATATACCAGCTGTGGTATGTTTATTCCCTCAGGAAAGAGATCTAGGTAGAGGTATGGACCTAGGAATCATCAGCAAGCCTTGTGTAATTAAAGCCATGGGAGAAATGAAGTGAGATTGCCTGGAAAGTGCCCATAAAATGAGATATTTAATAGGCACTGGCTCTTAACTCTGGTAGAGATTCTAGCCCAGAACCCAGACCACTGCCTACGAGCTCAGCAGATAATTGAACCCTGATTGTCTACCTCCAAAGCTCTTTCTGTGAGACCACAAGTTGCCTCTATAAAAGTTTTTGAACTCTTGTGTGAGTCAATAAAATTAAATTCAGCAAGAAGGATGATACTCTGTGTCAGGCACTCAATACATCTCAGTGAGAAGGACAGACATGGCTGCTGTCCTCACAGAGTTACAGCCTAGTGAAGGAGAGGGATAATTCCAATATAGATAGGTAAGAGCAATGATAGCTACAGAGTACCTCTGCCCCAGGAGCACCTAACTCAGACTTGCGGCGGGGTGGAGAAAGGCCTTTTTTTTTTTTTTTTTTTTTTGAGAGAGTCTCACTGTGTTTCCCAGGCTTGTCTCACATAAAGTGCTGGACTCAACCAATCCTCCTGCCTTAGCCTCCCTAGTAGCTGGGATTACAAGCACGTGGCACTGCATTCAACCCCAGGGGAAGGCTTTCTGAAGGAAACAAGTTAGCCAGGCAAAAGGTAATGGCAGAAGGTTCCAGACAGGCAGAAGAATAAATTTTTTCTTTTACTTGAAGTCCCCATGGAAAGAAAATAAGAGAAGGGACAGTACATTTTAGTAATGTCTATGCTTAGCCCATGAACATGCCAGTCTGCATTAGATAACAAAAGTATTTGGGTTTCCCTTCAGGTGAGGCAGTTCCAGCTCACTGCTGCATCCTGTCGGCTTGTAGCCCCTTCTTCACAGAGCGCCTGAAGCAGGAGAGGCCAGCTCAGGATCAGAAGGTGGTGCTGGAGCTGGGTGGCCTGAAGATCAGGACACTTAGGAAGCTGGTGGACTTCCTGTATACCTCAAAAATGGAAGTATCTCAAGAAGAAGCCCAGGATGTGCTATCTGCTGCCCGTCAGCTCCGTGTGTCTGAGCTGGAATCCCTTCAGCTAGAGGGTGGAAAGTTAGTGAAGGCCCCACAGGGCCGAAGACTCAACCGAGAATGCTTACAACCAACAAGTGCTGCACCCATCTCAGCCAGAGTGGTGACACCCAGCCACCACCCTCACACCGCACTGCCTGCTACTCAGACTCTTTGTCCTCTTGGGGCAGTAAGATTGAAGTCTTTGGGGAAGAAAGAGGAGCCCCAGGAGAACAACCGACAGAATTCAGACAATTTGTCTGACACTCTTCTGCTCAAGAGGAAGGCCAGAGCCTGCCCAACTCTGCAAGAAGAAAGCTCTTCATCATCAAGCCACAGTCAAGGGCCTAGAGAATGCAAAAATGACACTGCCCTTAATCCTACAGTGCTCTCCCCATCCAGCTTGTACCCCTCTGTGGACAAACACCTGTTGCCCAGAAAGATCAGGCTAAGTCGCTCAAAGCCATCGCCTGATATCTGTACATCAAAGCCTTCCAGCATTTTAAGTGGATCTAGCTCAGTGCCTGCAACCCCTGGCCGGCGTCTTTGGCGGCAGAGAAGTATAAGTAAAGAAGCACCAGAGAACAAGCCAAAACCAGGGAGAGCTAGTCCTCTAAAGAGCATCCCAAGTCCATCCGGTCTTGGAAAGACAGGTGGGAGCAAGAAGCATAGCCCTGATGTCAGGGCACCTAATGCAGAGTCTGCAGAGGAAGGGCAGGTTGGGAGAGTTAAACTTAGGAAGATTGTCAATGGAACTTGCTGGGAAGTGGTGCAAGAGCCTCCCCTCAAAAACTCTCAAAATAGTCCCCAGATCCCAGATCCCGGAGGAGACTTCCAAGAGCCTTCAGGAACTCAGCCATCCTCTGGTAATGAGCAGGAAATGTCATCTACTAGAACAGAACTGTGTCAGGACTCCCCCATATGCTCTAGGATACAAGACATTCTGGTCTCTGCTAGTGAGTCCCCAGATCACCCAGTGGTGAAGTCAGAGTTTGGGTCCAGTCCAGAACTGGTTAAGAAGGAACCTGTGTTGGCTATTGACTGCAGAGAGCCCTATACATTTGACACAGGCCTGCTGGAGCAGCCCTGTGAGGCTGAGGAGTACCGAATCACAAGTGCTGCTGCCACCAGTGAGCTGGAGGAGATCCTGGACTTCATGCTCTGTGACTCAGACATTGAACCACCTGGAGAGTCTCTGGAGAGTCCCAGGGCTGAAGGCTGCAGAACCCCTACCTACCATCTGACAGAAACAGGAAAGAACTGGATTGAAGGGGAAGAATGGTGTTTACCAGATATGGAACTCTGGTCCAAGGAGCTCACAGAATTGGAAAAGGAACCTACTGGTGAGAACAAAGAGCCAACTGAGCTCCTTAGCCCCCTTGTCATGCCCTCTGAGGTGAGTGGAGAGGTGCTTTCAGTAGGAGGCCCTTGGACACCAGACCTTGAAATTACTAGCTCCCAGCCACTGGATGGTCAAGAAGACAAACTTAACCATGTCAACTCCCTTGACCCTCCCGAGAGGTCTTATGGGGACCTCTCACCTCCCTGCTCAAACTGGGTGGAGACTGGACTGGAAGTCTCTCTGACTACAGATGAGTTATTGTACCCTTCTCCCAAGGCAGGCAAAGAGGTATCCGGTCACTCTAAACTACTAGGCTCACTTCCTGCCAGCTCTGAAGAGGAAGAGATTGATGTGGTGGATTGGACAGCAGAGGGGAAGCTGGTACCCACTAGTGTTCCCTCTGTATGGCCTGACCCTTCCTCAGAGTCAGAAACAGAGGTAGATATACTAACATAGTGGAGGGGAAGGGGGAGGGGGCAGGTTAGGGGCCCTGGGAGGGTGGGAAGGGTTAGCTAGCAAAACACTGACTGGCAGAGAAGCTGGCATATACCTTGTCCTCTTGGCATAAGAGGCAGATGTACCCCTTGCTCTTTGTAGGTCCCTTCTTCCCCTCCCTAAGCCTAGTGAGCCAGGGTGAAGCCAAGGGTACAGTAGATAGAAAACTATGAATTTGAACCTTCTTATTTCTTTGTAATCTGTTTTCCAGTTAGTGACAACTGAAACTGTGTGCTCCCCAATTCCAGTAGGTCATAGGTAAGAGCCAAGGCCAGGTCTCTCAGGTCATAAGGCATCTAGTCAATTTAGGAAAAGCTGAGAAAGAACACCCTCTGTGGTGGGGTACTGTGTAAGAAAATGTTCCAGAGGAAGGTGTGAAGCAGTGTTGGGTGGAATACCAAGTGGGTGGGAGTGATGGATACTGTCTAGCACCTAACATGGGGTTTATTCACTGCCAGTATTGAGAAGTCTAGCTAAAACCTCTGCAGGGGCCAAGAAGATGTACTTCATCATTACTTCCAAAAAGTAAGTTGAAAAAAATATAGATGCTTTTTAAAAAAATAAATTGCTTCCATAATTTTTACAAGTATTTCTCATGTTTTACTAGAGACCCTAAAAGTTCCAGATCAGGCCAGGTGCGGTGGCTCATGCATGTAACCCCAGCACTTTGGGAGGTCAAGGCAAGTGTATCACTTAAGGTCAATTTAGACCAGTCTGGCCAACATGGTGAAACTCCACCTCTACTAAAAATACAAAAAAATATTAGCCAGGTGTGGTGGTGTGCACCTATAATCCCAGCTACTCAGGAGAATGAGGCAGGAGAATCGCTTAAATGTGGGAGGCAGAGGTTACAGTGAGCCAAGAGTGCACCATTGCCCTCCAGCCTGGGTGAGGAAGTGAGACTCTGGCTCTTAAAAAATTTTTTTTTAAAAAAAGTTCCCAGTCACATGGCTATTCTGGGCTGTGAAAAACACAAGGACTACCAACACCACAAGGCTGGCTTTGTCCATCCCTTAACATAAGATTAAATTTTACTCTATTATTACTCAAATACTTTATTTCAACTTTTATTCAACCAAATCCAGTAACTTTAGCAATGCCTTACTAGAGGGCTGTCTCACAACTGAACCTTCATTTCTGGCGGGGAAGAAACCATGGCTTCAGGCACATGACTGAAGTTTGGCCATGTTCCATCATTAATGTTCCAACATCACCAGGGACATAAAGCTGCAAAAACGAGAAAGGAAATAAGGTTAGAGAAAGGATCCAGGCAATCTTATGTTCCCTAACCCTTGAACTCACAAACCCTGGAGCTCAAGGACTGCATCCTTCCTCCCAATCTCACTCAAGTGCAGAACAACACGCCAAAGCACTGTATGAAGGGCTAGAACAAAGACAAGGTCAAAATATTTGTAACCTAGTGTGATGAGACTGTAGTGCAGTGTTAACACATGGGGCAGTAACAGAACACCCTAGCAGGAAACAGAGTGGAGGGATAAGCATAAATGAACATGAATAAAACTGCAAATGGAAAACTTGTCCATACCCCCCGGGCAACAGTCAACTACATCTTCCAAAGGACGTAACATTGCACTTAGGGCACACTAGATAGAAAACAGTATTTGCAGGTCACAGTGGCTCGCGCCTCTAATCCCAGCACTTCGGGGGGCCGAGGCGGACGGATCACGAGGTAAGGAGTTCGAGACCAGCCTGACCAACGTGAAACCCCATCTCTACTAAAATACAGTACTTCACCGGGTGTGTGGTGGTGCGCGCCTGTAATCTCAGCTACTCAGGAGGCTGAGGCAGGAGAATCGCTTGAACACGGGAGGCAGAGTTTGTGGTGAGCCAAGATCACACCACTGCACTCCAGCCTGGGCGACAGAACGAGACTACTCCGTCTCAAAAAAAAAAAAAAAAAACCCTTTTTTTCAAATAGGGTCTCCCTATGTTGGTCATCCACTCCCGCATCGACCTCCCAGAGTGCTGGGATTGCAGGCAAGAGCTACCCACGCCAGGTGGGTACTTGTAGCCACACCAAGATCAATCCCTTCACTTCCTCAACAACGGTCGCCCCGCCCCCCGCTTCCCATTTCAAACCTCAGCATGAGGACTTCTACCCAAATCTCACTACGACAGGTACTTCTTCAACTCTTCGACCACCTCTTGAGGCTCAGGGAATTTGAGTTTGCGCGGGGGCCCCTTCTTAATCCCAGTCCAGAGCTCCGCACCTGCGAAAGGACAGCAGGAAGCGAAATCCTACTACAGGTACTTCGGAAGTCACGAGCACGTCTCTGAGTCAAAAGACTGCTGCTGTTTCAGAGAACAGCGCTTCCTCTCTTCGGAACCCACGCCCCTCTCCCCCACACCCGGGTCCCCACTCACTGCTGCCGTCCGGGCGCAACAGCGTCACCTCGAAGCTGCCCCTCCGGGGCTTGGCTGGGTTCACCTTTACTGGAAGTTCTGGGGCTTCCAGGCGCAGCGCCTGGCTCAGGGCCGCGGCGTTGCGCCCATAAACGCGTCAGCTAGTGCTAGGGAGAGACTGGGAGGTGAGAAACCGCCCCTGGCCCGCGGCGCTACCGTCCCCTCTCCCCCGTTCCTCTCCAGGCCCCTCACCAATGCTCAATAACAATGGTCGCCTCCTCCACTCCCTCCCCGCCGTTCGCCAGCTTCTCTCGCTTCTCGGTCGTGGCGACCACCGCGGCCTCAGCCTTCCGCTTCCTCCCGCGGGAAGCCATGGCGCCTAGGGCCGGGCTGAGAACGCAGCGGACCTGGTGGATAGGGGGCGGAGACGCGACCACTGAGCCGTAACCCGGCAGCGAAGACTCCGGCTCCGCCGCGCAGCCCGGAAGCTCAGCTCCCACAGCGGAAACCTCTCCCCAAGGAGCGGAAAGCGTGGTCCGCAGCGCCCACGTGGCCTGGAGGCGGACCTTAGGGCACAACCACTTTGCATCAAGGGAACGGGGAGGTACGGGAAGCGCCCGACGGAACCACCCACCACTTCGGGTCGAGGGGACAGGGGATGCTGGGATGGTGAACACAGCAGGAAGGGTCGGAGACTAGGTAGGTCCGACCGCAAGCCTTGCTTCACGCAGTCTTTTACCTTTACGTTCCGCTAAATGGTGTGTGTCACGATCCACCGCCAAACTCTCCTCCTTGGCATCCGGGGACCAATCCCAAACTAACCCCCCACCTAACAACGTGTGGCCCCTATTCAAGGCTTACGGAAACTAGCCTTCTTCAACTCTTGCCAATCCCGGGGATCAGTGATGCGCATTTGGTGAAACCAAATAGGATGGCCTTTGACGTTAAGATGGGCAGAGTTCCTCAGAAGTTGCCAGGCTTTTCGAATACAGAAACACACAAAGGCACAATCAAAAGGAAATCCCAATCTTTTTATTATGGAAAACCATCAACTGGGTGTGGGGAGTTGGTCAGAGTGGTTAAAGTCCAGTGGATTTCTCCTCCAAGTCCTATCCCACAAAGGAACGTCTCAAGCCTCTATTCACCCTTTCTCAATCCCCACAAAATAAGGGGATGTTCAATATTGTCTTCAATGATTAAAAACTTGTGGTTAACGGTTTCCCCTTAGGACTAGTGACAAAGTTAGGCTTATACTTTTAATGAAGGCCATAAACAAGCCAGGGTCCTTGAGGGAAAACTCTTAGTGTTCTATACCCCAGCATCTTACCTTAGGGTTGAATCTAGGTCTAACTAAGCTGTGCAGGTAGGCTAAAATGGAATAATGAAACCAGTTTCAGGGAGAAACCATGGAGATGTCTGAATCGTTGATAAAAGTTAACACACTGGCCCAAGCTTGGAGGGAAGCCATTTTCTCCTCTACCATGAGATCTCTTTCTGCTCCAGTGAAACAGTTGGCCCACAGCATGGCAGGCTTTCTTGTAGGGTGCCTGACAATTCCCTAGATGCCTCTTTAAAAATCAGAAGCAGCACCCTGCCCCACCCAGTCACAGCCAAACGGAAAACATAAATAAAAGGCTGTAGCCTCAGGCTTGTGGTTATGGAAGGAGCCTGGAATTGACAGGAAGCACTGCCAAGGTAAGGATCTTATTTGTCCTTCTTGCTTTCCCCGTCTGACACGCTGGTGGGGCTTGGGGCCACAGGCTGCTCCTCGGGGATATTGTCTCCAGCCTTTGATAGCTTCTTGGCCCGCTGGTATAGCTCATTTAAGTTAAATTCTCGGATCACATTCTCCTGCACAAAAGAGATGCACAACATCAGGATCTGGGGTTGCAAGGGAGAGTAAGGAGCCTGGGAAGTTATAGGTATTTTACACATAGTCTGGGAAAGAAAGGAGTAAGCAAAGGACAAAAATCTGCCCTAACCTTCCTCTTTTTTAGGTACCCAGAAAAGTCAACTAATAGTTAAGTACCCCTTATATGCCAATCACTGTGCCAAGAATTATACCTAAATTATTTAATGTAATCTGCAAAACAATCCTGCAAGCCAGGGGTTATTATCTCCAATTAACTGACAGGGAACCTAACACCTACAGACAATATGTGCAGGGGCCTTCGAGACTGAATCTTACCTAGAATTGTTCCCCAGTACTAGCAGGTCTGGCACATAATATATATTTGCTAAGCGAATTAATACGTGAGGTCTAGTAACTAGTCCACACCCTCAAAGCTAATGGGTAAGTGGCAGAGCTGTGAATCAAACCCAAGTAGGGCTTGAAAGCCCATCTACTGCTCTACACCCTTCATGCACCTGCCCTTTTCAGGTACCTCCGAGAAGGTCCATGAGACAGCTCGTCCTTTCTTGTCAATCTGTGGGCGCCGCATTACTTCCTTGCCACCTTGGAACAGGATCAGTGTAGGAAGTTGTTTGGTGAGGGGTGATGTGCTCACTTTGTACCTGCAGGGCCCAGAAAGTTCTTTAAATGCCCCTGTATATATCACTCAAAGTGATTCCCTACTCAGACCCTCTTCCCAGGTCCTTACATACCGTGTACTGACATCAGCATAGCGTCCAACATCCACCTTCCCAAAGTTTAGCCCTGTACAGTTGTACCTGAGAAGAAGATATTATTTAATATATTGAAAAAAAAGAATGGATCAAGGAAAATAGAAATATAGGTATTTGGGAGGTGAGGAGGAGATGCCTTTGGTTGCCATGTGTAAAAAAATCAAGGCCAAATGGGAAAAAAAAAAAAAAAAAATTAAAGCCAAAAACAGTGAAAGGGAAGGCACAGCATCTCAATTTCCATCATCGCTCCCTTTGCACTACTCACTTGAGGGACAGGTCAGCATAGATAGGAGCAAATGATTGGCAGTCATTAGACCAATTGGCAAAGAACTCCACGATCCAAGTGACCCTCTTGTCCCGTTCTAGTTCCTCCTGCCAAATACAGGGAAGAAAAGTGAGCTGGATCACACAGCCTCCTGGGAAGGTTCACAGCTTAGCATCTGATTCCTCGTCCTGCCATTCCCTCTCCCCTGGCTCTCATAATGAACCACGTGCCCCGACATCCACTTTGAAGCACTGTTGTTCCGCCTACTGAGTAGAGAGCACAACTACAAAATTACCCACAAGGGACCCAAGAAACAGAAAGGAGGAAGAGCACTCACATCAATGGTTTTATCATTGAAGTACTTGATATTCTCAGGGCCCATATATAGGGGGGGTTTGCACGTCATCAGGAACACTAAACACAGAAAGAAGACGTCAGAGGAAACATAAAAGGCCTTACACAGGGAATTTACTTTCAAACCAACTCAAGGAGTTCAGCCCCCAAAGAATACACACTTGTGGATGTATGTAGACCACCAATACATCCTCTGCCTCTAAAAATACAGTCTCTATAAACTGTTATCATCTGAGCTACATACATAATTAATTAGATACAAGATATGGAAGGAGGGTATGGAGAAGCATGTTTGGGATTGCAACTGTTGGGACTGTGGTTTCCACAATCAAGTCTATCAACACAGTCTTACAAAAAACCCAAAGAAAGGCAGTCTCCTCACCTATGCAGAGTGTGATGTAAAGCAGGCCCATGCGAATATCCAAGCGGAAGAAAAGAATTGCGTTGGCCACTTTACTAAACATGAAAATGTTGCCTATATGTTGCTCCACGGTAACTGAAACAAACACAGAGATGCCACAGGTCAAGCTGGGCTGTGCACTCCT